CGAGGTCCCTGTGCTTTGCCAAGCTTGTTTCAAGTAGGTGCTTTAGACCACTGAGCCATCTCTCCAGCCCCGAGTGACCTGTTTTAAATTGGGATCCACTTTGCAATCCATGGCTTGTCATGCTTTAATTAACTGGGGTTTTCCTTAGTAGTTTATGAAATATAAGGACATCTCATCAGTAACATCTTAGATTTAATGTCCACATAAGGTTTTTTTTTTAAATTAGAGGTGATATTTAAAAATAAGGAAATTACACACATCAGCTCAGCTTCCTATTTCCTCTCAAGAGAGGGCTCAGGAGGTCTGACCCCCAGGCCCAAGTTCCCCTCGGGTGACGGTGGTTGGGCTCGGGGCAGAAGCTGCCCGTGTGCTGACCGGCCAGGGTGAGATGCCCAGTTTCCTGCCCCACCCATCTGCCTGCTCCTGGCCTTTCCCCTTATGTTGCCTTTTTTCACTGTCTGTGTTTTGATTTCCTCACGTTGAGGTTATTTTTTCTTAGAGCCGCTCCCTAGTACCACAAACAAAAAAGTAGGTCAAGGGACCAGGGAGCTAGCTCAGTGGCACAACTCCTGCCTACCTGGCAAACACAAGTTACCGAGTTCAATTCCCAATACCCAAAAACAAAGAAAACCATGAGGTGCACTCAATTTCTTCTCTCTCACTCATTACCATCACCAGGTGGGGCCCAAGGAGGTCCCTGAAAGAAGAGATGGGGACTTCAACCCAGCCCACCTACAGCATAGGTTGTAAGTGCCCTGACCTGTGTCACAGAAAAGGACCTCAGGCAGCAGTCCAAGTCCACATGCAGAAGGGAGGGGCGCCCTGGGTCAGGGGTCAGGGCTTTATGAGCCCTCGGGGTCTTTGGGATGGGTGACCTAGAATGTGTGCTCCTGGGGACTGCCAGGCCACCCTCTTGTGCGTGCATGTGAAATCTAGAGCCTGGCCTCCCACTGAGTGAGCGGCCTCCCTGGGGAAGGGCGAGAACTTGCCAGGTGGAAAGCCGAGTCCTGGTGCCCAGCTGCAGTCACCTCTAAGACCCTTAGGAAGAACAATTTTTTTAGAGTGAGTTTCTGGAAGAGAAAGGGTATGGTAATTGGTAACCTTTTCGGTTAACTGGGTGACTTTTATACTCTAAAACTGCAGTTATTCTTAAAAGTACATTTTCAAAATTATGATTTTTTTCCATTTCTCCTTTCTATCTCTATTTTTTTCTCATTATTATCCCATAGACAAGTAAGACTGTGGCTCCTGCAGAAACCTGCATTTGCTGTTCCTGCGTGGGTGGCAGAGCCAGAGCCCCCTTTTGCAGGAAGGGGGGGGGCTCTGCCTGCTCTCCCCAGACTCAGGAAAGAGCCCCAGGGCAGTGACAGCTTGGTCCAGCGTCCTGCACACTGCCCAGCAGCTGCAGGAAGCGCCAAGGGGCTTTTTGATGATGGGGTCTGCCCCTGCCTTCCCACCCCATTTTCAGGGAAGATGGAAAGCCTCCATGACAGGAAGAGAAATGGAGTGGGAGAGACCTAAGCGCTGGCTCCACCAGCTCCCCAGGGACTGTGGAATATTTGTGAGGTTTGATTTTCACTTTCAGTTACAGACCTTGATTTAGCAGAAGCAATCCCTGCAGCTAATGCAGAGTTTGGAGGGACCCTTTAACGTGTAATACTATCTCTGGAGATTTAGAGGGAAAGCCCCCTGTCCCGGGGGCCCAGTGGCACAGGCTCAGCCACCTATGCCAAACACTAAGGAGGAGGCAAGAAGGGGCAAGCCCTGCAAGGAGGACAGGTGAAGAGATTCAAGATCAGTCTTCAAGGGCTGACAGGAGCTTTGAGGTTTTACAGGAAAGGCAGATAAAGGCAGGGGCTGGGGGCTGGTGTAGCTGGCAGGGAAGGTGACCCCTGCTGTGATCTGGTCATTGGCACCCTCAGGACTGCTTCTGTGAGGCTCCAGAAGCCCCACCGCCAGCCCCTTGAGGGGAAGCTCTGTCCCCACCATGGGTTTGCTGCTCCTGGTTGGGGGTGGCCTCACTAGGGGGAGGTCTCTGAGGCGCTCCTTTTCTTGGAGTTCCAGGTGGCTGAAGTTTAGGACGGTAACCTGGGATCACTCCAGGGGTTCTGGAACGGGACACTGTAAAAACTGGCAAGTGGATGTCCCTGCAAAGCCCGAGTTATTCTTAACTTGGTGTCCTCAGCTTTGAAGGTGAATGAGATAAGCTAAGTAATAACTTAGAGTTAATAAAACTTGTGTAACCAGTTTTAGACAGACATTCCTTAAGTAATGACATGACTACGTGCAGAGCTGAGCAAGGTTCTCACCCGAAGTTTAAGGTAATAAAAAAAGACAAACAAAATAAAGGCAGGGATGCCAGGCTTCCTCCTGCTTTCAATTACCCATTGAGCCTTGAGGTCCCTGCTACAATTTTAGATACAATAGTGAGAGTCATCATTTATGTGTGTCCTCATGCAAAGCAGTATGCTAACTTTTTTCGTACAACGACCCTCATCTTTTTTGTGGTGAAAGGAAGGCTCTGAAAGGGTGCAGCAGTTGCTTGGGGTCACGTGGCTTATGAGCAGCAGAATCCTGAGCCCTGCTTCAGACCTGCTGAATTTGGACTGGGGAGGAGGGGCCTGGGAATTTATACCTCCCTGTTCTCCTGGTTTCACCTCACTCTGCCTCCAAATGGGGGCCACTCTGCTCCCACCCCTGAGCTATCAGAGTCCCTTGGGCAGTAGCTACTCTCAGCCTCGTCCCCTTCTGCCCTTCACTCTTATTTCCCCTTCTCTCCTCTGTACATTCCCTAGAAGGGTGAGCCCAGGCAGAAAAACATAGCTGTGAATGGCTGGGAATTTCCAGCATCAGGCTGCATAACAAGTGCTGAGAGGCTGTGTGCGCGCCTGTGTAGTATTGCATTGTGTTTACACGTGCCCAGCTGCTTCTGTGGGTGTGAAAGAGTGCAGGAGCCCACAGGGGCCCATTCACTTCTTCTCAGTCATGTGCTTTCCTGGATAAATAGTGACTCAGCTACAAGGACAGAACACAGGTCTAGTGCCAGGCTGGCTTTCCTGAGCCAGCCACAAAGCCCAGGAGTTGGAGCCCGTAAGATTCTCCCTTAATCTCACCAGCTTGGCGGTGGCACTGCCTCTGGACCCAGAAGTCCAGGGCACTCCATTCTAGGAAGTGATCCTTTCTTATCTTCAGGGGATCTTGCTGTCTTAAGAGAACAGATTACAATTATTTGCAATAAGCATCTTGTTTTCACACAGTATAGCAACAGAGCATAACATGAGCTCTCGGTTGCATATCTTAAGCGCTCTGGGCCTGGGTTGTTCCCTGTGTAAAACAGGAATCGCTCATCTCATGTGTGAAGATGTCATGAGATAATCCCACCAAATGCCTAAGAAAAATGCCCAGTGCCCAGTGGACTCTTGGTAAACAAAATCTATGATTATGCAATAGCTATTCCAAAAGGGCTTGAAATTTTTTTATTGCTGTTGCACACACACACACACACACACACATATATATATATATATATATATATATATATATATATATATATATATAGTTTTTTTGAGGCAGGGTCTCACCCTGTAGCCCGATAGTCCAGGCTGGCCTTGAACTCACAGAGACCATGCTGCCTCCGATACCCAAGCATCTGGATTTCAGGCAGATGCCATAGTGTCTAGCTGTTACTGTATTTTGAGATGGGTGATGGGTTTTTTCTTTGTTTCTCAGGCTGGCCTCAAACTCCTGGGCTCAAGCGATTCTCCTGGTCAGTACTCAAGGAACTGGGACTAGTGCAGGGACTTGAAGCTGGGCTTCAGGGGCCTAGTAGGTAACTAAGAGCAGAACAGAGCTTGCTCTCACTGCCTTCATTTTTGTGTCTGTCTCTTTTATTATCTTCAAACTCTGGGTCAAATCTCTGCTCAGTTCTGCACATAGGAATATTCATCACTTGTGGAGTATCTGTGTGAAAACTAGTACTGTAATTCAGGGTTTCTCCCTGGCCCTGTAATTCAGGGTTTCTTAGCACTAAATTAACTTAGGATATCTTGTCCCGTGTCAATACCAAGGATAAGAGTAATTACAATGTTTTTAAGACTTGCATGGACAGTCAGCTATACGGTGACACGTGCCTACAGGACAAGCACCTCCAGAGGCTGAAGAAGGAGAATCCCAGGCAAGTTGGAGCCCAGCCTGGGCAACTCACC